GAGAGGGGTCACCCTGGCTGTGTGTGACAAGCCCAGAGCTGTGCAGGATACGCCCTGCTCAGGCTTTCTTGGTGGCCAACTCAGGCTGACGGGCTCCTAAGAGGGAACCCAGTGAACAAGTCCAGGAGCCTTCCAGCTCTGCAGCCTGGCCTGGTGGTGGGTCCAGGAGCTATGAGCAAGGATGCATGAGCAAGGGCGGATCCACACTGGCCTTGGGCGGCTGGTGATAAAGCCCAAGGGCCACACTTGGGCAGCTCACACCAGATGGTCTTAGCAGTGACAGAGGTCAGCCAGCCCAAGGTCAGGGTGCCTCAGGGCAGATAGGGTTGCACACATCCTGCCCCAGGAGCTAATTCTTCACATAGCCCAAGTCCCAGCCCAGAGAGGGGTGGGTCCCCACACCGGGCAACGCCCTGCCTGGGGCAGGCCTCAGGGAAAGGGGCTGGGGAAGGGAGCATCCCCCAGGCCTGAGGACAGAGGATGGTCAGTTGGAGGCAGGGGCCACAGCTCTGGGCACCCAGCCCACCCTGGCCTCAGTTGCTCCAGTTTTAAGTGGGGCGATTTCAGAGAGCAGAGACCAGGGTGGCGAGGGCGGAGAGCTCTGTGCAGGCCACACTGTGGGCCGAGGAGCCCCGTGCTCACAGGCTGGCGGCAAGGTGCCTGGAAGGCCTTACTGGGCAGAGCGCCTGCACCTTCTAGGGGATTACCCAAGGGGTCTGTGAACCAGAAAGAAGGTCAGGAACGCTCGCCACATCTCGCCTGCCGTGGGGTCACGCGCTCTGTGAACCACCCCAGCAGGCCTTGGCCCCAGGTCCCGTGATGAGGCGTGACCCGCTCAGGCGGCAGCCACACTTTCATGTCTGCTGGGAAAGCCGGATTTCAGGGCTGATTACAGAGCTGCTGGCTGTGATGCCGGCGCCCACTGGCACCTCGGGAACACTAGAGCCTGCCTGGCTCAGGCGGTGTCCCAGCTACGATGGCTGGCAAGTAGGGACAAACTCTAACACTGGTGAGGGTTCCGCGGGCCTCATGGGACAGGCCTGCATGGAGAAGCAAGGTCCACAGGGGTGGACACCCTCAGAGTGGAGGAGGCCAGCAGGCAACTCTAAGATTGACTCCTTCCATCCTTTCTGGTCCTCACCCCCGTGCCCTGGTGGCATCAAGTCAGCTGGCCGTGGCTAGTTCCACAGCCTCCAAATACCCATCTTACGTACCCGGACTTTCCAGGAGGGGCTGAGCAGCCAGGTCTGGCGTTCCTCCAGCCAGATCGCCCAATGCCAGATCATCTAGCACTGGTACTGAGCCCGGAGCCCAGAGCTCCAGAAGAGACACCTGCCACTCACCTCTGCCAGTCCTCCCCTCTCCTCCTTTCTCTCTCTTTGCTAAAAGGCATGAGTGAGCCCAGCGGCTACTTCAGGTCAGGAGAGAACAGGASACACTAAGGACCTAATGGCCCACATCCTCACTGATGGCAGGATGGGCCATGAAACCCCTCACAGACGGGAGGCTTGAGGGAAAGTTCTCAGAACTGACCCATGTTGCTCCTGACCCGACACCTGGTGGAGAACGTTGCAGGGCACAGGTCCTAGACACCCACCAGTTCAGAGAGGCCACCAGCCTGTCCCATGCTCATGAGGTGAGGGGTGGCAATTAGGTAGACGGGCTCCTGGCTCTGGGATCCCAGGTGAGCCTGCCCCTTTCAGCTGCCTGAGACCWGAGATTCATGGGGCTGTTGGTTGGCAATGCAGAAGTGGGGGTGGCTGTCATAGCAGGTAGTGTCCCATCCCACCAACCAGGAAAGAGTGGGAGACTGTCTTCATTAGAGAGCCAGTCCCAGACCAGGTCCCCCACACCCACTGGCTTGGTAGGTGACCGTGGTGGCAGAGGGAACAGAGAGCCCCTTTGGATGCCTCCTTAAGAGCTCCCTGGGGGGAAGGCGGCAGCTGCCCTGGCCCAGAGCCTGCCTGGAACTGCAGCTGATTCCCCACTGGGAGGCCTGATAACTAATCCCCGCCCAGTGAGAATCTCAGCTTGTCTCTGTGACTGTAGCTGATAAGATAAAATCCAGCATCACCTGAGTTCCAAGTGGTGCTACCTGTAAGTGGTGCTCACTGCACAGTAAGGAACCCACAGAACCAACCCTTGTTCCAATTCCACATGCCACCAAGACAGCAGCAGAGGGGACGTCTCTCCCCCTTCAGGACTGACAAATTCAATGTTCTATGAACGGGCTCAGCCCTGGGGCCCAGGCCAGGCCACAAGAGGAGCTTCTGCACTTCACCATCTGCAGGACCCCTCAGCGCATGGGGGCCACACTGTTCCTTTTTAACAAGCGGAAAGAAACTTTTGAGGGACAAGATGGAGAGCTAGAGACCAAACGGCAAAAATGAAAGCTTCTCCCCAGCATCTGTGCCTTCTGTGTTGTCAGCAGAACCCTTGCCAAGGCAGAGTGAGGTGCCAGCACAGGTGAAGACCCAGATGCCAAGATATGTGCACCACAGTGGAGAGACCCCAGGAAGGAGGGGCACAGAGTGCCCTTGCTCTTCCTAGGGGGAACTTGCAACCCTGCTTTACGGAGCACCAGGACCACCAGGACGCACTTCCACAGGGGTGTCAGGCAGGTGCTAGACAAGGCTGTCCTGCAGACCCCTCCCTTTGTCACTAAAAATCCTCCTTCCATCAAACACCAGAGCAACTCACACATACCCTGCAGCAGGTCAAGTGTCGACGGCTGATGGCACATGAGGCTGGGCCTACTAGTGGAGGCGTTGCTAACTGACATCAGCCCCCGCTGCACCCCAGAGGGTGTAGGGCAAAGGCATTTCCACCAGCTCACCCTAAGGCTTCACCTACTGGGGCCACAGGGACCTGTGAAAGCTATTTAGAATCTATTTCAAAGCCCTGTATCACAAAAGACCTCCAGGAACACCTGGTGTGGCAGCTTCCTGGAAAGGCACTGTGGCTATCTATGCCTTCTGCTCGGAGCCAGGAAACCCCAAATGCTGAGCACACTTGGTGCAGTCCTATGGTCGCTCTGCAGCTGAAAAGCAGGAGCTGACCTCTGTGTACTGACCWGGAAACCCTGCACTGTCACTTCAAACTGAGTTGTGCACAATGATCCAACTGAGGTTGAAAGAGTAAGTGATTATGTTTATGGCAGAGAAAGCTCCAGAAATATGCACTGTTAGCCATGGTGTGGTGGGCAGCTGGAGAAGGAATTTGGACCAGCAGTCAGTTTGACTCGCCACACATTGGTATGGTCAAATTTTTACATGGTCACCTATTCATATATTCATCTTTTATTAGAAAGAAGACTTTAGAAAACCTCCACCCTAACTGCCCACTAGGCCAAAGCAGCCTTTCCCACAACTTGCCAGCACTGTCAAAACTTCCACTCGGCTCCCAGGGTCCATCTTCCCAGACAAGAGAGGAGCCCTTTAACAACATTACCAAGCAGGCCTCACCAAGACACACTACCTAGAAATGACATAACTGGACAATTAAAATCCTCCTACAGACAAAACAGGCAAACAAAGTGTTCTCTGCTAGAGGCTTGCTCTGTGCGCACAMAGCACACAGTCCAGCGAGTCACCCCAGTGTCTCCTGGCCCTCCCAGAAGTCACAAGCTCCCTCAGCTCCCATCCAGTGCATCCTACTTGGCCTTCCCACCAGGCTCTGGGTGCTGAGCCCCACATTCTGGAGTCAACCCTCCACCGCGGCCTGGTCCTCTCTTACCTCAGGAAGGCTTCGGATCCTAGAAGCCCGCACAGCCCACTGGGTTTTTGCCTTCTGCATCTTGAGTTTATGGAGTATGTGACTAGAGAGGAAATGGTCTCCAATTGTCTCTCAGCCCCGAGCTCCCATAGCACTGCCAGTCAAGGGCCACTTCCAAGACGCACACAGACCCCAGAACTTCACGGATACAACCCCAAACTCTAAGCATCACCCTGCCAGCCACATATGCACCATCGAGGTGCAGGAAAGCCCAAGTGCTTGGGTGTTCAGGGCAGTGCGTCAACTACAAATGTAGGCTGCTSGAGGCTGGCCATGGGATGAGCATGAGTGGCCCAAAGCCAAAATATAAAACACAAGGTTTTTTCATCCTGAAATCCCACAAGAATACTGTCCTGAAAAGCAGCAGTCCTCTCTGGCCCACTGGTATAGTGCCCACCAACATGATAAAAATGCCCAGGGCTGGGGACATGGCTCAAGCAGTAGCGCTCTTGCCTGGCATGTGCGCCTGGGTTCGATCCTCAGCACCACACACAAACGAAGATGTTGTATCTGCCGAGAACTAAACAATAAATATTAAAAAATTCTCTTTCACTCTCTTAAAAAAAAATCTCTCTCTTAAAATAAATAAATAAAAGCCCAGTGGCTGTTTCTTGGCAAACTTGGGACCCTCTGAGCCCACCCAACCCCAACACACAGATTTAGTGTCAGGCCACCTTCAGAGGAACTCAACGCTGCTGCTCAGCCTAATGAGCACTCTAGGTACACACAAGTTCATTACTACGCTTTTCTGTGAGTCAGCCTGTGCACTGATTCCTGACAGGCTGGTCTGGAGAACAAAAATGAATGATTKCTTTTAACTGCAATTTCCCTCTTGACAACCAGTCAGCGAGTGACGCTGAAAAGGAAACCAGTGGTTCACTCACTCCACGTGGTGCCCGGRACGAGGCAGGGCGCACTGCTCTGCGGGGCCCGGGAAGGCTGGCGCTGCTGGAACTGCTCAAGTCCTAACGGATTAGGTGGGGAGACCGAATGCCCGCTGGGGGTCAGCGCGCAGGCCTCGCTGTCAGAGGTCTTCCCAGGCCGCCCCAGAGTGTAAACGCACGCGGGTTCATGGACCAGCGACTTCGGGGATGGGGTGGTCCAGGTTAGGGCTACCAGGAGCCGGGACTGGGGAGCAGAGATGCAGCGTGGTAGGAAGCGATCCAGGGGCCCCGGGAGGCCGGGGCCGGCTCGTGCCCGCCCGCCCGCCGGGGTCCCGTACTCACGCACGCAGAGGCAGGCCACGAGCTTGGCGGCCTCCTCCGGCACGGGGCAGGTGGGGAAGAGCGGCTTGAGCAAGTAGGTGGCGAAGACGAGCGCCACGATGTACTGCGAGGACGGCCGGATGATGAGCAGCTCGATCCAGAGCTTCAGGAAGGCGGGCAGGGAGCCGTACACCTCCAGCATGTAGGCGTAGTCGCCGCCGGACTTGGAGATGGTGGTGCCCAGCTCGGCGTAGCAGAGCGCGCCCACGATGGAGAAGATGCCGCACACGGCCCACACCACCAGCGCCAGCCCCGGCGAGCCCGCCTCCTTGAGCACGCCCGTGGGCGTCACGAAGATGCCCGAACCGATGATGGTGCCCACGATGATGGCCACGCCGTTGAGCAGCGTGATGTTGCGCTGTAGGGTCACGCCCTCCTCCGCCGGGTCGCCGCCGTCCGCGCGCCGCGCCGCCAGCATCCTCTCCCGCGCCTGCCGCTCCTCCTCCTCGACCGCCGGGCCCGCCACCGCGCGCCGCTTCGCGCCCGCGCCCGCGCCCGCCATGCTCGCCGCGCCGGCCGGCTGGGCCTGGACACGAGGTGCGCGCCGCGGACGAACGAGAAGCCCGCGCGCCCCCGAGCTGCTGCGTCTGCGTCCGCACGACCGGCCGCAGCTTTTTATCCCTGCGCCGGGAGGCCCCGCCCACCGCCGCCGCCACCCTCCCTCGAGGCCCCGCCCACCGCCCTCCGCCGTTGGTCCGCCCCAGAAGGTCCCGCCCACCGCCCGCTGGTCCCGCCCGGCCGAGAACCGCCCCCAGCCAGCTGCTGGGAGCACGTGGAGCGTCGCCGACCGGACCGCGCTGGCCGAGTCTGGGCCACCAAGTTCGGGCTGACGCGCCGCCCCGTCCCAACTCCCCGGGCGTGCGGGCCGCCTAGGGGCCCTTTGTTTGGCGTTCCCCTCCCCCTTGCAGCCCTCCCCACCTAGCCCAGGCGGGAGGAGCAGGTGGCCTGGGGCCTAGTGCGGGAAGGGTGGGGTTGGGGTGTGGTGTGCTCGCCCACCCCCTGACGGGAACCCGGGCCCAGTTCTSCCTGGCCCGAGGTGATGGCACACTCCCCAGCCCCGCCAAGTCTGTGGTCCCAGGCTTCTGGGAGCTGGGGCAGCACGTGGCTCAGCTCAGTCCTGGGGAACTGAGTCACCAGGCTGTGGGTGTGCTTGCCGGAGAGCAGGGGGACAACCGGCCGTGGAGGAGCCCATTTTATCCCAAGTCGAATCTTGTCAGAAACCTGTGATGGGGGCACACGCTCTCAGGAACAGGAGCACAGGCTTTGGGAGACCAGGGATCTGCTGATGCTCAATCAATATTATGAGGTCTCCTCTGAAAGAGCAAGAGTGAGGACCCCCACCCCCAAACCTAAATGGGCTTCCCGGCAGGCTGCTGTCATTCCTAGGATAGGCCAGAGGCCTCTGAGGTAGGAAGGCTGCAAGGTGACTGGTCAGAAGTCAGAGGAGGGGCTGCTGGGGTCCAGGGTCCTAAGCACCTGCTGAGTGCACAGGGAAAACTCAGCCAAGGGTCAGGCCCAGGCAGAGAAGCTCTTGGCACACTCCATCATTCCCCTTTACTTGTCATAAGGTGTCCTGGGAAAGGCCAGCAGGAGAAGTGGGCGTGTGGGGAGGCCTTTGTTCCAGAGGACAGGGCATGCAGCCACCAGCGTACAAGCCTGGTGTCATAGCAGGACAGTCTGCTGGGYCATGGTGTGCTCCCCAGAACCCTGAGGAGTGGCCATGGTGGAAGGAGGTCAGACCTCTGCCATCTTTGGTCCGCTAACTGCTGCTGGGAAGCTGGCTGTCCTTAGAGCCCCAGCAAGGGGTTATTCGTGGGGAGGCCAACACATATCCTTCTGGACCCCCCAAGTGAGCTGGTCATCCTTCCAGAGTGATAAAACTGCCTGAATTTTCTGCAGTACAAGAAGCCAGAGCAGAGCCGCCAAAAGGTCACACACATGAACTTGCGACACTGTATGTTGCCTGAGTTGGTGCCTAGGGAAAGATTAAAAAAAAAAACAACACTCCCTACTCTGGCTTCTCACACTGTCCTTTCAGAAGGCAGAAAACCATGTGACCAACTTACTGAGCCCTTGCTAAGACTTCAGTATACAACTTCTAATTTAATAAGGCAGGTGCCAATTCTTGGTGGTATTTTATTAATGAGGAGACTGAAGCTTTGCCGCTATGTAATCTCTCTGGCCAGCGAGTGGGCTAGAACCCCGTCCTTTGGCCCCTAAACCATGGGATTCTTTTAAGCAATTTGCCTCCACCCTGTACCTGTGGTCTCTTTATCTTTAGATGGTCAGGTTTCTGTTTCTGTGATTCATAGATTGTAAGACATCACCATCTCAGTGTGCATTTTGATTTCACAAGTAAGGCAATTGTTTGTCAAAGCCACAGGAGAGGTCCTGGGCACTGTCACACCAGATCCATGCTGCAGTCACCCTCAGGGTAGAGTCTTAGTCCAGGCGCCTAATTGCAGGTGCCTCCAGAGCTCTGGGCCACAGAGAGGTGGCCAGCAGTGGTAAGGGGAGTGTAAAATCACACCCCGARTAAGCCAAGGACACTACAAAAGACCCAGAGAGCGGTCACAAGGAGCCACGCATGCCCAAATGGGCTTTTCTGGGGAGAGTCCTAGAAATGAATCCAGCGTGAGAATTACCAAGGGAGGTGAAGGGAGCCCCCGGGTGCGTGGAAGGGCCCGGTCGATGGAACAGTTGTTGCCTGGGAGTGGGGCTGTGGGAAGCTGCGGCAGACCTCGTTTGGGAAGAGGACTACCCTGTGTGAGTGTCCTCAAGGCCTCACAAGGGCTGCCCACGCCCACACCGTTACTTTTCGKAGGGGTTTCCACCTGGGCTCCTTCCTGTGAGTTTCGCTCGGTATGTGGACAACTCACACTTTGCCCCTGCTAGCTGAATTCATCCTGACTCCTTACCAGACACTGAAAACGTAATCTTTGTAAAGAGTGCCATCTAACGGTGGGAGCAGTGGCAGCGTTTTTTGTTTGTTTTTTTTTAAGATTTATTTTTTAGTTGTAGTTGGACACAATACCTTTATTTTATTTATTTTTTTAGTAGTGCTGAGGATTGAACCCAGGGCCTTGCACATGCCAGGCGAGCGCTCTATGCCGAGCCACAACCCCAGCCCACCCCGGCAGCATATTTTTTAAACAGACTCAATTCAGCCCCTGGTCCAAGTGCAACTCTCGAACTGACTTATTAAGTGTTGTGTCATTTGTCCTAGTGCAGGCTGGAGAGAGAACGGCTGGACATTTCTGTAGATAGAAATTTGAGAGTTTCTATCAAAATCCTTGAAATTGCCCTTCCCCTTGACCAGTAACTCCACTCTGGGAGAGTCTCTGAGGAGGACAGATGGATGCTGTGTCCTGTCTGCAGCTATTTATTATAGCTCTAAAAAATAACAGCCAGTGCTGAAACAGAATGTCCAGAGATCTGCTCTGGTCACGCCACACGACACAGAGTGCCTGATCATGAAAACTCCTGCTGTGACAGTGTATACTGAAGTGACAAGTGTCCACGATCCTGTCATTCTGCTGAGGATGCTTTGGCTGAGATGGGACCTCACATGCATTTTTTTAAAAAAATTTTTTTAGTTAATCATGGGCACAATATCTTTATTTTGTTTATTTATTTTTATGTGGTGCTGAGGATCGAACCCAGGGTCTCACACGAGAGAGGCGAGTGCTCTACCGCTGAGCCACAACCCCAGCCCCTCACATGCATTTTTTGAGGTCTGGGAAAGCCGTTCTTTCATAGCGATTTCTGTCCTTCAGATGGCAGCTACGGCTTGTCCCAGGGCAGTCGCCTCTTTTCAGGGAAACATTCCCCTGGGCCTCTGGGGTCAGGGAGGAACGGCCTTTCAGGAGCTTAACAGCCCTGGAGGACACTGTGTGTATCTGCTTCACTGGGTCAGACAGAGGTGTTTGGAGGTGACAGCCCCGTTTTAGGAAACCCTCTCACCTGGACGGGGCTCAGGCTGGGGGCCCTGTAGCCACAGAAAGTGGGCTGGACCTGGACCCACAGACAGAGGTGAGCGTTCCTGCCCCTCCCCTGAGCTCTACATGGTAATTGTCAATGATCTCCAGGTGGCAAAGGGGGGGGGGGGCGGAGGATTTCATGCCACAGTACCAGCCACAGGTTTGACAGGTGGTTGTCCATCTTGAGCCTCTGGGGCCTCTGGGCAGAGCTGCTGAAGGAACCCAGGAACATGCTAGCTCCTCACTTCAAGCAAGGCTTTTCTGTTTCTGTGGTCTCACCTTCTACAGCACAGGAGTCCGTACTTACTGCGTATGAGCTAAAGCACASGGAGTGCTTTGAGGAACCCGCTAACCGTGGTGTCCATGGTAGCAACAGCTATCTAGGAAACAACTTGGGGAACTGTGCACCAGGAGGGGATGCAGACACCCAGGCTGGAGCTTGTTGCACACAACTCTTCTTGGTTGTTTCCAAACTTTCTTCTATGAGCACATTTTCCCCTAGCCTTGCTGAGCTGTTGCAGAGTCCCATTTTATAGGTCCACGCCATGGACGAGGACGGCGCCAGTGAGGGCGGGGCGGTCTGCCCCCTTTCCAATCTGCAGTCTCCTCCACACTCCGCCCTGGGGAGGGCAGGCTCTGAACTGTGGTGCTTTGCTGCTGCACCCCTAGCTCTGCAGGGACAAGCTGGGATAGTTTTTCAGGGAGCACTCGTGGCCTCCAACACCTTGGATTTGCTGAAGTGAGCTCGACATCTTTTTCAGACTGCCGAGGGGTCTCCGCCAGGTGTGTGTCCTGGGACGCGAGCCTGTTTCTGCAGCGGGGCGAGGCTCTCCCTGCCCTTGCCGTGTGAGACTTTCAGCAGGGGACGGAGTCTCGTTTTTGAAAGCCATGCTCTCATTACACACAGCAGATAAGTCTCCCTGTGTGCGCCAGGTTGCCCCCTGCCACTTCTGAATCCTGAACACTGACCGTCCAGCTGGGGTCAGGCCTTGAAGGAGCCTTTTTCCATTTAATTTCTGGGACCATCACGATTAGTCTCCAGTAATGGGCCCGGCTCACAGCTGCAGAAGTAGGTGACCAAGCCTGGCCTCAGACCCAGGTGGCCCTCCCCGACCTGCGATGCTGCAGCCGTGCCCTGTGCCCTTCCCACAGGCCAGAAACCAGCGGCGGATTCTCCTGTGCAGCTGCTCCTGGGAACTACTGTGACTGTCCTTCAGGCCGCCCGCTCCCCKTCACCTGCTGGCGAGTTCCCCCGGTCCTCTGAGGTGCCCGAGGGTGGAGCAGTGTGCACAGTTGCAGGGGGTCCCGCAGCCTGGACCTAGGGCCACGCTCCCCTGCTTGAGGTCAGGTTGGTAAGAGAGAACTTGCCTGGTCCCAGGGGCTGGRCTGGTGAGTGCCACCGCGGAGGTCATCAAGGGTTCCTGGTCTCGTTGGCACTCTTGGGAAGATGCTCGGCTCATCCCGGATTCCCGGGGAACACAGTAGGAAACCCGGCTTCGGCGTCCAGGACGGCCGCTCAAGGCCCAGTGGCGGGTGAGTACGCAAGCAAGTCCAGCCACGGGAAGGACTGAAG